ATCACCTGTCCTAACAGTTATTTCAGTTCCCTATTTATGACTTCACCATCCCCAGGGGTACATTTACTTCTATTCTGACTGTATCATTTCTTCCTACTTTAACTAGCAGAAATAGTTTCATCATTCCTGTAAGATTCTCTTAATATATGTTGGATATTCAATTAAATTAAATCCAATGAAGATGTATTAGGCAACCAATGGCTAGTGTGTTAGACACTGAGGATATTGAAAAAATAAAATTTTTGCCCTCAAGTAATTAACATTCTCAATTGGGACATGAAATTAACAAAAAAAAGTATAACATATTTTAGGATACATTTGCATGTGCAAAATAAGATGGAGAGGAGTGAATGATTTGGGAAAGGAAGAATCACTTTTAGCTTCAAGGGATTGGGCAAGGTGTCAGAGAAGGTAAAACAAGAAATTAGCTTTGAAATAAAAGAGGGAATTTGATAGAAAAGCTGATTTCAGGCAAGAAGGACAACATTGCGAGAGGCATTTATGTAGGAGAGAGTAAGATGAGATAGTTGAATAGACAGTATTCCAGTTTTGCAAAGATATGGAGTGTGTGAATGAGAATAATATAAAATCAAGCTGGAAAGGTAGGTTTGGAATAAAATTGTAAAGAGTCTTGAATGCTAAAATAACATGTTTACATTTTATTCTTCAGGACATAGAGCATCAATGAAGAGTACAAGGAAAGGAGAGCAACAAGATAAAATCATGAGGTTCAGATGCCATCATGTATGTATAACTCAATAAACATGAACATAAAACACGCATGCCAACTGTGACTTAGATAGCAGTGTGCAGACCAGACAGGAAAAGAAAGGAACTAGAGATAAAAAGGCAACCTTCTGGCTTTCAAGCCTAAATAACTGGGAGAATTTTGGTATGATCAAAAAAATAAGGAATTCAAGAATATTCCCATTTTTTCTCAGGAATATTTATTTTAGCATGGTAAATACTTATTTAAGCATGCTGAATTTGAAATATGAAGGCTACCCAGGGGGAAATGTTGAACAATCAGCAGTTGAAAATATAAGACTAGATCTTGGGGAGTAGTTACTGTTAGAAATCGAGGATTGAGATCCATCTGCATAGAAGTGGTCTGTGAAGCACTAAAAGGGGAAAAATTCTTCCAAGGAAAAGGAAAATATAGGACAATGCTTTGGTAGATTCTTACACTTAGGGAGAGGAAGGAGGAATAATAATATGTAAGGGAAATGAAGAAGTGATCAGACTGATAATCTGGAGATATTCATATTCTGGAAGTTAATGACGTACATTATGGCAAAAAACAAGGAGCAGAAAGCAACCCCAAATACTATAGGAATTTCATAGACTATAAAAACTAAAAAAAAAAAAAAAAGAAAGAATTTGGCAATTACGCCACTGAGGACCTTGGAAATAGCAGGTCTAGTACAGATCTAACTAGAGAAGGCAAAATGCAAGGACTTGAGCAGGGGATGAGTAACAAGAAAGTGTGGGCAGCAAATAAAGCCTACTTCTAGTAAACATTTCATAATGAAGGAGAACAATGACATAAGGAAATAGTTTGAATGGCTGTCAGGGCCAAAGGAGTGAGTGAATATGAGTGGGGGAGAGTGAGTGAGTGAGTGTGAGTGAGTGTGTGTGTGTGTGTGTGTGTGTGTGTACACATGTAAGCATGCAGATAATCATATTTTGTAGGGTAGGAAAGAGCAGAACATTATTATAAAGAGAAAGAAAAGGGCCAGTAGAAAAAGAGAGGCATAAAAAGCAGGAAAGAAGTAGGATGATCTACAAAGCAAGATTGTGGAAAAGACAAGAAGGGAATGTCATGAAATACCTAGGCAAATGAAGGATTCACTTTGGCAAGAAGGTGAACACTTTTCCTTAGAAACTAGAAAAAATAAAGGGAGAAGACACAGAGAAGTTTTGAGAGATAAAGTCCAGTAGACAAGGGATTTCATTTTGAATGATCTCATTTAAAAAAAAAAGGTAGAAAGTGAGTTGATCTTCCGAGAGTGAGTGGTATGGGATGAGGAAGAGAAGATGTAGAATAGTCAACGTGGCGAGTATGAACGAGACTAATAAGTGTTGAATAAAAGACTGCTGTACAGCCATGAGGAGTCAGTTGAAGAAAACTTGTATGTGTCCTATACTTAGGCAATGTAGATTTCGAGCTCATTCCAATAGTTTGAGAATGAGAATGGAAAAGGAAGATGGAGGACTGGTATATGGATTCCCCAAGAAACACGAGTTTTGTGGATTAGTGAAGTAGAAATAGCAGAAGTTAAAAGGGCCAATGGACTATTGGCTCATGAGATCATAGGTGTAAAGCTGGAAAGGACCACAGAGGCCCTGTAATTCAGCTCACTCATTTTACAGATGAAGAAACCAAGGTCCATAAAGGTTAAGTGACCTGCTGAATGTCACATAGCTATTAAGTAGCAAAGGCAGGATGCTATTATTATTATTATAGTCATCATGATTGTACCATGCTGCCTCTTTAATATTAAAAAATGTGGTAGAAAGTACAGCATTGGAATAGATAACACCAGACTCAGGATTGGGTATCAACTGGAGGTAGAGTGTGCCCCCCAAGTAGATATCTTCAAGGAAAAGTAGGACTGTCCTTTATTGAATAGCTATAGATGATTAGTCAGGTAGATGGTATAACAGAGAGCATTAGCAGTGTGAAGACAAGAAGACCTGAGTTCAAATGGCTCTTCAGATACTCTTATTAGTTGTGAGACTTTAGGCAAGGTTTTCATCATTAATTTCTCTCAGTCCAAATTTCCTTATTGGTGAGATGAGGGAAAAAATAGCCTCACAGGGTTACTATGAGAAGAAAGTAAGGAACATGCAATTTGTAAAAAATAATATTAAAAAAAGAATAAAATAAGATAAATATGTAAAGGTCTTAGATAAACATATCAAATTGCTACATCAATGTTGGATGAGACTATTATTATTATTATTGATTTTTTTAGATACGCATGGGGCTAGCTTCTGAGGTCTCTTTCAATTTTTAGATTTTTTGATTCTTTAACTCAATTAATAAGTATTTGTTATGGGCTTGTCACATGCAACACTGTGCCAGGCACCAGGAACACAATTTAGAGGTTAGACGGAATTTATAGAGTGGGGAGTTTATTTTCTGTTGGCAGCAGAATGATGATTTGGAACTATCAGGAAAGTTCTAGAATCTAGAAGTATACTGACTCCTGCTCTGTTTTTGTTTCTGTTTTAAGGAAGGTGCTATCAAAGAAGGGATGGCCACATGAGAGAGGAGATAGAGTACTGGAACTGAACCTAAGTTCAATTTCCTCCTGAGACGCTTGCTAGTTGTGTGACCCTGGGCAAGTCAGTTAACCTCTATCTGCCTCAGTTTCCTTATCTATAACAACATGATAATAATAATACCTACCACCCAGGGTTTTGGTGAGGACAAAAAAAATATATCTGTGAAGCACTTTGAAAACCTTTCAAGTGTTATGAAAATGCTAATTATTATCATTTTATTATTATAACTACTACTGCTGCCACTCATTTTTCTATTAGTATTTCTTCAGAAGAAAGTCATGTCTGAGCTTATGAATGCAAGGTATAAAAGAATGAAAAGAGGAACAAAGTACAAAAGGAGCCTTATTCAGACTAGAGCACCGATTCTAAATACTCCAACTGGTGGCAGAGCAGAAAAGATCAGCAATGGTTAGGGGTAGGACACAACTAAATAGGGAGGAGAGTGTGGGAAGAGGTATAGTGAAAAAGGACCATGAGCCTTGGCAGGTGGAGATACAAGATGGCAGAGATCAAGGGCCAAACTGGCAAGACATGCTAGTCAGAGGCAAAGGAGAAAGGTTAGGACAGGAACTGGTCTGGGGACTGGTCCTGAGATTCTATGGCTATAATAAAATCCTGTATAAGGAAACTCTATCAAGACAGGTCAGATCCATCCCTGCCGTTTATACTGTTACAGGACTGACCAGAGCACAGAGGCGTTAAGGGCTTTACCATAAATCACACAGTTAGTAAATGGCAGAAGGAAAACTGGGTTAAGAGCTAGCTCTTATACGAGTAATCTATTATCCACCACGTAGCCTCTCAGGTAGAAGCTCACAGGATTATAACCAATAGGGTTCTAATTAGAACGGCACTGTGATAGAGCTTTCACAAAATGATGCATGACAATTATCGCAGGGTGCTTTGTTTGGTTCTGGCTTGTTTTTTGAGGGGAATTGTTTACCAACTGGAATATTTCCATTTCTATGGATGTATATCTAAGCACATACATAGAGGTCTATACCAGATATAGATAGATAGGCAGATAGATATCCCATACACACACACACACACACACACACACACACACACACACACACACACACGTATAATATGTATACATTCAAATATATATCTACACATACACATATGTATATATGTACATATGCATATGTACATGCATACACACACATATACATATCTATGAATTCAAGGTAGAAGGATATATATGGGTATATACACACACATATATTTCATATGGAAGTTTTCTAGTTAACATAAACTTTCCACCACGTCTTGAACTGGTGGTCAGATACCTCAAAATAAATTTATTTACCTTTGATTTCCTATCAAGGCTAATTAGAGACATTGAAACATTAGTGCATTTTTCTTTGCTACAGAATTTTATGTGTTACATATTGCAGAGTTCACTCTAAGCTCCATTAGAAGAGCATGTTCTTTATAATTCCCCCACAGAGAAGAAAATGGCACTCAGACTCCATAGGGCACTCAAGAAATGTTACTGTTGTTGAGCAAAAATACAGTTATGTTCTTCAGCATGATATTTTTGCCTTGTGTAAGAAAGGCAAATGCTGAACATACTGCATACATCTCTTCTAGAGAATCATTATTATCGACATAATAAAAATATTTTCAGATTAACCCAACATTTGGGGCAAATTTGTTATTCAAATAGACCAAATAAGTGATAAAAATAAGAAGATACATACCATTATCAAAATATCTGATGGTTGAATTTCTGGACACACTAGGGTCAAAATTTGCCATTAAAGGGGCTATGTACTGTGTGGCTGTTAGCATTCGGTGTACAATTTCTCCTGTATATATGAAACCTATGAGAAAACAAAATAGAAACAGGGTAAATACTTTTTGTAGATATGTAGGCATCACAACTTGTAAGAAGAGTCATCTCTGGAAAATGAACTCTATCTAAGGACTAAAAATAAGTGGCTGGTTGTAGAGAGTTGTTTGAGTCTATTATATTGGAGTCACTACATTAAATTACAGGCCAAAGACTGAATTTGCTTCAATAAAATTAAGTAGATATATTTGAAATTTAAAATAAACCAATCCAAATATGCAACAACGTTTTTGGTGTTTTTTAGAAAGGTGATGGTGTGATTTTCCTAAGAAATTTACTTGATCGGATGCTTATAAAGTGCTAAAACCAGTTGTCTGCTATATTCCTGTTATAAACATTGGTCATACTGACCATTTTTCATTATTACACTTGTGCTACCATAAGAGTAAGCTAAATGATTACCATGATATCCATCTATAAATATTACTGTCCAATTACACTCGTGTCTTTGTATAGCTACAGCTTTGCTATTTAAATACAGACAATTCATGTTTCACAATTAAAATGTTGAAAGAACAGTGCTTGGTTCCCACAAGTGTTTTCTTCAAATTACTTAAACGTCATTGTCCCAAAGATATATCTGTAGCTATTCTTAAAAAAATAACTTCTGGGTCACGTGAACAATAAGATGGCAGACTTGACCTTTTCTCCTATCTCCAGTCCAAAACAGAAATTTTACATCAAAGATAAAGCAACTTCAACTGTTTCTATGTTCTAGGACACCTAGAATCCAAAAGAAAGTAAAAAATCTCTCTCCAAAGACAGGAACTGGACCTCAATGATCCTGAGCTAAATCAGCATCCCATGCCCACCACTGACACTGAGGCCATACTAGCAAGCTCAAGGATACAACACAAGCTTACACAATCCAGCCCTGAACCCCATTTTCCCTCTTTCCAATGCTATAGAGACCCTGGATCCAGGGTATAGAAATTTGCTTGAGCCTCAACAGTCCAGCTTGGCCACAGGCTTTCAGGAGGATATCCGGGAAAACATTGACAACAAAAGGGAATATGGCAGCTAGGTCCACTAAATGAGTTCAAACCTCTATGAATACTGTAAAATACTGTAATACAAAGGCATAATTACTCAACATTTGATGAGAAAGAAGGCCCTTTGGGATTTGAACAGAACCTGGAAAGGAAATGAAAATTATAAATATAAGATACCTAAATTTTCCATATACATGGAACCAGAGAGTACATTTGTTTAACATATACCCCAAGGAAGCCACCAATAGGAATAAAGTGCTCATATATTTCAAAACATTTCTAGCACCTTTTATGAGTATTAAAAATGGAAAACAAAGTAAATACCCATCAACTGGGAGATGGCTGAGCAAACTATGGTACCTGAACATAATAGAATATCACTGTGCTATAAGAAATGATCTGTGTGATGAATACACAGAACCATGGAAAGAGCTATATGAACTGATACAAAGTGAAGTAAGCAGAGCCAGGAAAAAATATACTCCATAGAAAATGTAATAAAAATTATAAAGATCATATGGGTCTCGAGATATGAGAAGATACTCCCAACATACCCCTTAATGGAGGTGGTAGGTCCAGAGGCATTATACAGTATACACATTTCCAGATTTTTAAAGATTTATTGAAAAAAGTTGTGTTGACATTTCTTTTTCTTTTTTTTTCTTCTCTAAAAATACTATTTGTCATACAGGATGGCTCAGATACATGGGACAATATGGCCATTAAGAAACAGGAAATATCAATAAAAGCGTATTTTTAAAATGTAACTTCTACACATATGCTCTGTTTAAAAAATCAGTGGTTCCCTATTCTGGCTGAAAGTGAGCTTCATACAGAATAACTTGTCTATGAAATCATCTGCGGAGTCTCTTCAATTACAACTCCAGCCAACAATCAATTATTCACTTTGTGGATTACCTGTGACAAATTTTTAATTTAAAATTGGCTTTTTTGCCATCATCCTTTGGGCTATCTGCCATCACTGTCACTCAGGAATGCTAGCAAATTTTGTTATCTTTCTAAGCTCTAAGTAGAAAGATAAACCTGAACTATAAGTATGTGTATATGTATGTATTTATTATATATAACACACATATCTATAAACATAGTCCAACTATAATTTAGGTATACACACACATATACATATATATATATATAATATATATATATGTACATATATATATATATATATATATATATATACACACACACACACATATTCATACTGCACTTTTAACTGAGGTGAATTTCCTTAAAAATTATTTTTGGTTTAGATCTGCGATTTTACCCATATTGAAAGCATATAGAAATGTTCTTCATTGATATTTATGAGTAACTTGTCAATAATTTCTGGTCTTCAAGATGTCATACTTCAACCCAGGTTTCCTGAATTCAAGAATGGCTCTCTAAATACTAATCCATATTGCCTCTGTATAATGTGAATGGGTGTTAATTCTCTGAGTGCACAAAATACATTTTTCAGGTTTCAAAATAATCAGTTCACCTCTTCTACCACCGCTATTGCTACTGATGAAAATTTTTATAGAACAGATTGAGTTGCCTTATTAGGTGATCTGTTCCTCATAACTGGTCATGTTTAAGTAGAGACTTGATAACTTTATTTCTTATATAAAAAAAATTGATGAGGGTGAAATTAGATGATTTCAGAGGCTTCCTCCAATTTGGTGATTTTTTTTAAATGAAAATAAGTTCTTACATCTGCAGGGCATTTAAAATTTATGTAACTTTATAGCTATTATTTTATGTTGCTCTTCTAAACAAAATTATGACCTTTAAACCATGATTTTTAAGCCTGCATATCACAAACTCTAAGGTAAATTATTTTAGAATAAATTATTTCAAAAGTGGATTGTGTTTCATCCATTTCTTAGTTCCCATTTCCATTTGTGGCAACACTTCTTCCTTCCTTAATTTCTTGATTTATTTTCCTAGTGATTAAAAAAAGAGAAAAAGAGACATTGTGGCAATGTTTTTGAATCCCTAGTAAGAAGAACTTGTATGTATTGTAATTATTGTCATCTGTAGAAAGAAAAGTCTTTGTGGCTTATTTTGTGTTTTTGTATATTTGTATATTTACTATTTCACATGCATGAATGTTTCAAAGTTCCCCATGGCAAATACATGATTGCTTTTATTATATATCCCTAGAGGCCTATATTTCCAGAGTCATATCTCAGATGTTCAAAGACCAGAATCAAACCTTCAAAATGACATTCATGAAAAATAACTACCTTTAGTATCTCTGGGTCATGAATTCTCCTTCCTGGTAACAGCATGAATTTTTAATTTCACATAAAAATAAATGCTACTGGTAGCTAGATATTGCATTTATAGAATGGTAGTTTAGAATGGAATTTACTTAACCCCAGGTAATTACCTAGCCTAATGTGAATTTCTAATTTGCTGTCAAATGAATTCTTACTTTATGTAAAAGGTATGAAGCTTAAAGGATGGGAACTTCACCCAGAAATTGGGTTTGAAGGAATTATTTTTTTTCCAGTGGAAACACTTCATGCTTCCAAATGACATGTCAACAAACAAGAAATCAACTTAGAGTATCCTTGCAAAAGCGTGGCCAACTCAGCGATCTGAATTGAAATATTTAATCATCACTGCTAATGCTTAAAATAAATGGCAAGAGCAAAATTAACTTCTCCTTGAATTGCTTTCTGTATAAATTTGGCAAGACAGGACTCACTACTGTCTGTGACCTACTTTCTGGATTGTAGTCATCATTTATTGCTGTGTCCTTTCGCCAGGGAAGAATTTTCCAGACATACAATTTCCTGAACTACTTAATCCTTCCTTAGCGGGAGGGGTCTGGAAAACTTTCCAAAGGCAGGAAAGAGATTCGCTGAAATGTAACAATGTCTGTTATGCTGTTTTTGCCCTCTTTGTTTACCACTGGGTTGAAATAACGCTTTAAACTATGTCTTACCAATGACTGTTGTTGTTTTTGTTTTTAAGTTCCAAGAGTTCAAGATAAGAAAAAGTACAAAATCTCACGATGAGTTTAATGTTATGTTCACATGGCATTGATTTTATTTTATTTTGTTATCCTTGCTTATAAAAAAAGAAAACGTACCTATCAAAACATCAGGTGAACTTTTAATGGCTGAGAAGTAATAGCTTTATTGAGGCATGGAGCCCTTTAACCTAGCTGGACTTAATATTTCAACTTTTAAAAGTGGAACAGAGGAGGAAACTAAGTTAATCTAATGAATCAGACTCTTTTATAGAATTTGAAACAGCCCTGGGGATACCGAAAAAATTCTCAAATTTCAAAGGCTCTTAGAGACATTAAAATCCCATTTAAATATTACCACTTTCACCTAGGTATGCTGGCCATATATACACTTCTGCTGAAATACTAGGACTTCTCCAAGTCTACATGATTTCAGCTAATTTGAATGTGAAAATTATTATTTTTTCAAATTATTATGCAGAATCCAAAATCTTATCAGACACTCAAAAATCAGCAAATTCTTGGGTAATTTCTTCTGGTCACCTTTGGCTTTCAATGACAACTAGTTACAGTATGTAGTAGGAATAATACTGGATTTGCACTGTTAGGACCTGAGTTCTAATCCTCGTTCTGCCACAAAAGTCCTCTGTAGCTTTGAACAAGATGCTTAACTTTTCTAAGACCCAGGTTCCTTCTCTGTAAAACAGGTTGGAGGAGATGACCTGCTAGTGGTTCTTCAGCTCCATAATTATTCTAGACAATAACAGGCTGTAGCTTTGAACAAGATGCTTAACTTTTCTAAGACCCAGGTTCCTTCTCTGTAAAACAGGTTGGAGGAGATGACCTGCTAGTGGTTCTTCAGCTCCATAATTATTCTAGACAATAACAGGCTGTCTCTTATCTAAGAAAAAAAAAGGTACATTTAGAAAAGAGGCGATTATCCAGGAAAGCTCCAAGAGGAAGTAGCCAGAAAATGAAGGCAAAAGTGTTTAT